TCAGACTGATAGTCACAATTTTACAGCACTTTGAACAACATGCTTCAGGTTTGGCATTATTGTGCTGTATGGCAAACCTGCCAGTTGTCAATGACCCGAATGCATTCCTCCGCGCCTATGGCCGTAATGATACAGATGATCTTACTTTTCAGGTCTGCAATTGTCCTTAGGTCATTCTAATACACTATATCCCCCATAGGTAGGGACATTTTTAACGACATGTACAGGTTGGTCTATAGCGCAATAGTGGTCACCGGGAATGTTCTTTAAAGTGCTGTAAAACTGTGACTATCAATCTGATGGTCATGAAATAAGGTAGGCAAATAGGAAAATAAGTGATGTACAAATGTGCAAAGTTATTTCTTAAAATGACAAAGATATTAGGAAAATGGTATTAGGGTTTCCAGTTTTTTTACCACCCTGTATTTTCTGATTAGGGTATCACTACTCACCAGTCACAGTCTGGATCTCCGGTCCAATGTGCCCATGTGTATTTCTGAGAACCCAAATAGCTTGATCTGCAATGTTACATAATGTTCAAGAATAATGTAAAACAGGCGTAACGGAACACTTGAAATGTATAATTGTATCTCAGTACTTTGTGTAATTCCCACTTATAAATACCATGAAGTTAGGTGGTTGATATGCCCAAGTGGACTTGGTTGTATTTTTATTATTTCCTTTTGTATTTCGTAAACTATTGTAAACTTAGCACTGTACCAGTACATGTTCATGAAACTAAACTTTATAAATGCATTAAAAAGTGAATTTTCTAGAATATGCTACCTGACATAAAATACGTAATCCGGTGCGTATATTCCCCTAGGTCCATCTTCTAAACTATTAAGGAAATCCCAGCATGCTTTCTGATACAGTACAACATATCTATTGTGAAACTCCAGTCCTTTGGAATAATTCATCGTATACACATATAAGAATATTCATATTCATATAAGAATTAACAAAGTAATTATATAATCTTGAATATCAATACACATGATATCTTATATCGCTGTTTTTCTGCAGTGTTTATGTACATTCATTTTTTAAAAGAAATCAGAAATAAAAGAAAATATTACCAGGTGAACCATCATATGCGACTGAATTTGAAGGTGTATATTCTGCATAATCATACATCCATCCTTTAAACCCAGCGTCAATCCCCTTCTGCAACTGTTTCTGGTACCACAAAACAGCATCTGGGTTTGTGAAATCAACTTCAGACACGTAGAAATTTCTGTAAAACCATCAATATAAAGATCTACATCATGACCTATTTTAGTTAATCAAACAAACTAGTTTAATATACTGGTTAGATACATATGTTATACTTTGCATCCTATGCCAAGAAGAGTTTTAGGGAGATAAGTTGGTAAGATATATCCCGTATCCTGATTTTGAGGTTTCCATATCCAGAACCTCCATATCTCCCGCCATATCTCCCGCCATATCTCCCGCATCGGTGCATATCTTCCCGCTTCCGGTAATGCAATAAAATGATTTCGCATATGTATGATTTGTTTATTTTTACACCTTGTACTGTTGAAATGGTCATATGCCCCTGAAAACTCAACTTGGTATAGGATAAAGCAGTTATGTACGGTCGGTTTGGATATAGGGTCCATCCCTCGTGAGATATGCACATCTCCCTCTGGATAAACCCCATATCCAAAACCTCCCAGTACATAACCCTTATATATTATATAGTCAACAAAGAGTAGACCTAGTGAAAGATCAATGACGGTGAGTTTTTTAAATTATAGTTTAGTAAAAGAAATGTGTTACTTTGCTGCGTGGTATGAGAAGTTGTATGGAAGCCCATCTTCAGTTTTAACCAAATAACCATGTTGGGCTGCCTCGTCGTATGTTCCATTGAATCTCGTAGATACCATAGGGTTGAAATAAGCAGTTGTCTAAAACAGGGTATACCTTATGTAGACCCAGAGCCAAGTTTGAACACACCTTTTCATATTAATTTCAATTTTTTAAATATAACATACTAAATCGAACTTTGTTTTCCTCGTTTATTTTTCGTTTCTAAATTATTGATACCTTGATTCCTAGTTTCAAAAGCTGTGCATTTTCCTCCTAAAATAAAGAATATTTTAAAGAAAGATCTAATCACTGTACGAAACTGCAGATATTTCCTGAAATAATACGATGAGTATATATTTTAACATTATAATATTTTGGAACAACACTCGATATCGGGAATACAATGTTAAACGATTTTTGATTTTGTTGTGAAATATGTCATTAAAGCTGTTTATGACCGTAATTTTGTATTCAAGAGAGTTTAGCAACTTATCTATTAGGATTGTTACAGGCTAACATTTGGAACTAACACAGGTATCATTAAGTACTATTTTTAAATTATGTATATTTAACTACCGGTATGAATGAATATCACAGAGCAAGGTACAGAGCACTTATCATTGTATAGTATATTATCACTATAGTTTGAGGCCCATGAAAGGGAAACAATAGTCTATATTCATGACATTTACCAATATGAATTACTAGACTTGAATTGAATATAGACCATGTCATTAACCTTGCTCAATGCAAAAAATGTAGGAATACTGTAATGTTAATCATAAATAAGAACATCATATTAGATAACCCTTATTTAATTTGGTGGTCATTAATACGTGTTTATGAGTAGTTATATACCTGAAGGGCTGTATCATTTATATCCTCCCCATCTGGGAAGAAGTGAACTGTATTAACACAATGTGAGAAGGGTATGTCATCTCGAAACAGAAGTTGTCTGGATAGAAAAACATTGGAAAATATAAAAGTGGTGTTTTGCAGTTATGTGATCCATTTAATATCACACTTGGCATACCAGCATCTGAGCAGGAACCCCCCTGCATACCCTTGGTCAAATATCAACAAGGGTCATGGCATCCATGATTTACCAATCTGATTCCCTGAATTTTGCCACACATCCTCCTAAGCAGGTGTCCAGAATCCGTATCTCCTTCTTCCCCCTGCTATAACCAATTTGGAAGCGCCCGATTTAACTGAATCACGTGATCTAATTATGCGCAATAACTTATACATGATTTCTGTCGCAGTGTTGCGACAGCCAATCAGATTGCGAGTTCTTAATCGGGGAAATGGTAACTGCTTATCGCAGGGGGTAAAAAGAAAGAATATATTCTGGATTTTAAGCCCTGTGATCGGAGGATGTTTGCCACATGACTGCAATGGCGAGGATAATACAAGATAACAATAAAAACTTAAAATGCAAACCTTATTTTTATCAATATGCGTTAACCCACTTGGGAAGAAATGAGCCCCCATTCCATTTACACACAAGGAAAATGGGATGTCTTGGTCTAATAACAATGTCCTATAGCCAACATAAGAAAAAAAGAATATCAAGGACACATGGATATCTAAGTATAGACAATACGATCAGAATGAAAGAACTAGGTGCCAACATTCATGATCATTGTATTAAAGATACTACTGTATAATTCAAACAAGCCTAGTAAAAGACGTTGGGAGGTAGGTTTATCTGGATTGGGTTTAACATTATTATTTGACGGAAATGGTAGAAAATAAGGAGTATAAATTATAGGGGATAATTATGCTAATGGTCGAGAGGAAAGATGCAGCTTTCCCAGTGTAGTAACAGAGGCTAGAGTTCCTTGTACCTTTAACTGTGCAAGGTTGTGAACTCCTACGGGAAAGAATTGTGCATTGGGTTCGTTCACACATAGCGAAAATGGGACGTCATAAGTGAATAATAATTCCCTTAAAGTAAAGCATGGTTAAGGTAATTATTGAGCTGATGCTTTTCTTTAAAAACATTAGATTCGCTTAAAAGTAATGCCAACATCTACTAATCTAAAAGAAGTCCTTGTATATAGAACCGATCTTCAAAACATGGGGCCGGGCTATACAAAGTGCAATGTCATTAAAAGGTCACCAGTTAATCGTTGTACATAATATTCATTTATTTAGAATATAGTTCTATGAACAAGTTACCCAATGTTATACAGGACATTACAATTGCGTAATCAGTGCTATTTCGTTCCATTCAATTTAGTGGAAATATGTCACTTTGAAAGGTCAACGTATTTACCGTGCTCTCTCTACAAGACCAACGCCGTCCACTTCACTTCCAAGTTGATTCCATGGTCCAAACTAAAAAAAATAGCTGACAGTAAAAATAACTGATGCAAATTATGCAGTTCTTTGAAATCGTACTGGAAACAATTACAAAAGGAAATGAAATAACACAAGAAAGCATATTATGGATTAAATAAACCCAAAGTGGTTCTCATCTTTAAAATGATTGAAAGAGGCCGGGCTCTCGCAGCCTGGACTACTTACTTGCCAAGGTGGTGGAACTAAGGACCTCCCATTCTTTTTGGTGATCAATTCAAGGGCATGCTACGGAAATAAGAAATGGGATAGATAGAGACGCTTTATTGTTTCATTCAGTTCCAAGTTTCATTATGAGTCGTACTAGAATGTTACATTTGAGAAAGGATAGCCAAAACGTGTAACATGATACTCAAATGGCTGTCCCGGGTACTATGTTCTACCACTCATACATAGATGTATGGTTGAATTACAATCATCATAATTATTTTAATGCTTTTGCCAAACCTTTGTATTAGAAGTAATAAAGAATGTTGCATTCATTTCAGAGGTCTCAGCAACCATCCACATAACACTGGTGTTCGTTTTCGAATCAAATGAGGTTCTGAAAAACAATAACAATATATTAGTATATGTAAAACCAACATTGCAAATTGCATCGCTTTAAAATCATGGCCATAAGATGAATCTAAAAAGCACCGGTGTAAAAGGGTAGGAAGTCCTATCAAATTATGGTTCTACTTTCCATTGATTTATATGGTGACCTAAATACAACTCGTTCCCTTATTATCGTATCCACAATCAGGGCCAGTAAAGGCCTTTCAGAAAGGGGACCATAATCCCCAGTGGACCATAATTTCTTTTACACCGGGTCCCACCATGTGCGCACTGCGCTTTTTGATTAAGGACCTAATTTCATGAGAGAGCAACTTTTGGCTCCAAACTTGCAGGACTGACCTAGGATATCAGGGACACCCCGAAAGACCTTCTATTCCCGCTATTGGACATGATGTATACGTTGGGAGAAAATGCCATTACATAAACATTTGAAGAGTTCACCATTACGAATGCATATATGAGGTTTGGCCTGTGCAATGTATTTATTGAGTTTTACTTTTAGTGTTGTGTTTGACACTTGCTTTTTTTGGATGAATAATTAAATATTGAGTTTGATCACCTCGCACCGTGCGTCATACGTTGCCAAGACTCAATCGTAATCTACAGGTAATTTAAGGTTTTTTGTTTACGTTGGTCAAAATATGAATCTTGTATAATTGCATTGTTAGATTATTAGTTTTGTGACTCACAGTTTCACAATATTGAACGCGCGCTTTCCTTCACTAGTTTACAGTAGTAGTCTACATTGGTCCAATAAAAAATGTTATAAAACTGGTAATATTTATGACTCATAGTCATAAATGACTCATACTCATAATAAATGTATCTATTTATTGGTACAAGTCTCTAAGAGATTAAAAATGTAAACAATGTTTGAAAATGAAAATCTCCAAAAATCCTCAAACGTGATTACCTGTATGACATGTCCATCTGTATACCATACCCCCTGGAAGAGATCCCCACTGGCATAGGAGCCCATGAAGTCGGCTTTGTGACATCTGGGAACTTGAACATTGAAAGAGAAACTGTGTGGAGCTCCAAGTGTTCTAGGCTACCCAAGTATTCCGACTCTTGCTGAAGTATACTGACTTGACCAAAGTATTCTGGGTTTACTTATTTTATCAAATACTCTTAACTAGTTAATTTAAGTCTTAATTGGGTTGCTTTTCAATTTGCCATTCAATTTTATGTTTCTTCAAGAGATGACTGCTGGAATTAAGGTAACCAAACCAATCATATTGATATATTTATATTGCTGCCTCGCCCACAAAAGGCTTCCATTTATATTTATAAACTATCATGGTACCTGGAAGGAGATGACAGATCCCCTGTGCAAATTTTTAAAATTTTGAAAAATAGAAATAATGGACCTCAATATCGAATAGTGAACCTCATTTACAAATAAAGGGTCCAAATATTCAGAAACCCAACATTTTAAGGCTAGCATTTTACCCGCAAAAATACTTTGGGCCACACTCCCTTGTGAATATTCAGTTCTAATAAATAAGTGAACTCAGAATATTTGAGTTGTCAGAATAGTTGGCAAGAGTCCTAACATTCATATAGCCCAGAACAGTAGGGCTTCCATAAACGTGGCAGTGGTAGTACATTTTATATCTACTATTTTATTTAAAATTGACAAAAATTAGAATATTTCTGCATTTTAAATGGAATAACTTCTATATATTTGTATCTCAATTCTTTTTCAGAAAACAAAATTAGGATGGTAAGGGAACACGTTAGATATGATTTTTGAGAAGATTGTTGCCAATATTTTGCACTCTCTTCCCCTTTCAATTCCTTTTGCAAAAGACAAACTAATTTATACGTGAACCGGAAGTTTATATAATCTTGTGTCATTCAATATTATTTGATACCCATATGTCTTTGTCGGAATTGCCATATCCGAATGACCCTTCCTCCACATATACACCCGTATCTTTACCACGTTGATTAACCGTGTCATACCTGTAATTCAAACGTGATATCCATAATATCTCTAAACAATTTCAATAAATTAAAAGAGTATATAACTTACACTTGTAAAGAGACGTTATGGACACCCTCTATAGCATTTTGGTTTTTAAAAACATATTTTACTTTATGACATGATATATTTTTAAATATCAATTTTACTTATAGGCTTACTAGACTATAGTACAAAAGAAGTCTAACCTCGCGCCAAATCCAAAGAAACCTTCATGAACGTCACCTTTGTCCATGATGTCAAATCCAAAACCAACCCTGTTGCTGATAAAGAAAGTAATAGTTGGGCGATAATTAAAACAGCCAGTGTGAGTGTGTGGTAAGTTACTTTCAATAATCGTATGGTCACTCTTGTTTTAATTCAACATTAATAAGATGTTGTAATATTACATATAGAGGGTATGTACGGTGTTTATCTCACTTTGAATGTGTATTTTCACTTACTACATATCATCCACTGTTGCAGTGAAAGAAAACTGATATTCAAATATGTCAAAAATCGTAAAAACAAGAACATGTTTCGCAGGATCGCTGCCGAGTATACCAAACTGAACACCTCCTGGAACTTTTTGCCAAGATAATAGGTTTGTTACTGAGTGCCATTCTTTTATATACCCAATTCGTGTCAGATAGCCCTCAAATAACTGGAGGTACTGTCCCTTCCAAACACCATAACCCTAGATGAAATAAAAACGATCACAAATAAATTTCATTTATGTGTAATTCTAGCAAATGAGAGAGTAGAGAGAAGTGTTTTAATTCTCTTGGCCATTAATTAAGTTTAAAAACGAGGATAGATACCGTGTATGTTTGAAATATAAACAGACTATATAACACCAGGTGTAGCAGATATAAGTGTCGTCAGTGTCAGTGGGACAGACAATCCTCGGACAGTTTTAAGTGTCCCCTTGAAGTTTTGAATATCCCCTTGGGGACACTAATAACCAGAATCATTCGAAGGGTATTTGTTAATGCCCTCTTTAAATCATCGAGCACTACTGCTCTGTTACGTTAAATATAGACCAACATAATTCACAAAATGTAAGTACATTATAGCTTTTATATATTTGCATGGACATCAAGTGAGCTACAATCACTGTCCTCCACTACTGACGGGTTGTACACCTTAAGTTTTTTCCGTTTATGAGAGTTTTCAGAGTACACTTCGACCCATACTTTTGTTTCAATTGGTCCCTTTCTGTCGACAATGGTGTATGGACCTGACCAGGATACGGTCATTTTACCGCCTTTTCTGTCTGCCCGTCTAACTTCCAAATTCTGACAGATCTGAGTCTCCCCAGTTGTAACTGTCTCCCCATTTTATCATAGTAATTATAGGAAATAAAACCTGGTTTTCAAAGTCCTCCAATGGACTGCCAACCCTAGGGATCGGGGTCCCGTATCCGTAGGACCCCGATCCCTATGGTTGGCTGTCCCAGGGACACTGACCACTGTGGGACATTTAAATCCGTTACACCGGTCCAATGGCACTTTCGCAAACACTACCTACTAAGCCTTTAGTTTACTTAATACATGTACGTGAATGGGATGTAAATAATGAAAACGCATGAAGTATTGCTTTACCAGTTTTTGCTTCTCGTTTGTAGTTTCAGATATGATGAGTTCCCGGGTGATAGAGTTGTAGACCTTCAGATTCCATGGTGCTTTGTTTGCAACTATTCTAATATATTCCGTACTTATTGTAACACTCGTATTTGTCTCCTACAAACATAAATACTATTCTAGTATGAATATGTGTATAATGTATATGTATTAATGTACATGTATAGAAGCATTAAACACATAAAATTAGAAGGAATTGTGCACATTATATTATGTTTTACTTGTACTCTTCCAATATCCAAGTAGCTGACAATGCTTCCTAATTTCGAACCATGAATAATGTAATTATGCTTACATTGCAACTGTTAGATTGTTATATTTCTCTATACAAATTAATAGACTACGAGATGCGAGCAGAAATAATCTTGATTTACGTCATTATATTCAAAATTCAGTCAAAGTGATGTCATGCTTGAAATCTACAAGTGCATCTAAAAATATGGTTTCGAAAATCAACTTTGAAAATTTCTTTTGAAAATGTGACTTCTAGTTTGATGAGATTCCCCATAGACCCCGTGTTACAAAATCACAAAAAGTGAAATATCTTTTCTTGTATTGGACAGATAACATTTTCTTTTACTGGACATATTTTAATTTGCATGGCTATTAGATACATAAGGGTGATATGAAAATTGAACCACTAAAACAGATGAATATTGAAGTTAAAGGTAACTTTCTACTGTATACCCTCCATGCTATCGGACCCGAACGAGTCACCTGGTGGTGAAACTGGTAACTACTACTCGCATCTGAGTTATTGATTGCGTTGAATTGTTAATGTTTTTACATTCACAAGCCAACAAGTCTAGTATTATATTTTAGAAAATTACAAAGGATAAATAAAGCCTTATAAAACAACTCTAAGACATAAAAGGTTATTTGAACAACTTACCTTTACTCTCCATGGATCTCCCGTTACAATATACGACTGAAGTACTATGATACAAGCTACAAAAACAAATGCTTTCATCCTTGATTGAAAAGCCTTCCTATTACCCGGATATAAGAAAAATGAACCTATTTTAAAAGTGTCCCTGTTGTGTATTCTATCTTTCTTATCTGTATACAATATACCGATTTGCACTCGTACTTCATGTACTATACTCGAGTTCAAAGTACTAAAGCTTTACTTCTTTTTGAAGAGTTGGTCATAAAATATGTCTCGCTGACATATGCATTGATTTATAATAGATGTCGTAAATGGTTTAACCGTTTTAAATTATTTTGGTACAAAACACCCATATAAATCGAAAATGCACAATATAGCAATGAATTGCAACAGCCTAAGAAGGATGGATCTATTAAAAAAGATGATGGTAGAGCCCATGTTACTCAGTGGCCATAGAATAATGGTAAAGCGCGGAAAGCCAATGGAGATAGCGAGGTTGTAAGAAAACTGTCCTGAAATATGTGGTCTCGAAGTCCGTTATTTATTCACCAATTTTTTGAAATTATACCCAGAGACCTCTTATTCCTATGTTACAGTTTTAAACTTTTAAAAACTTTGTCGTTCCCGCTATACCTGATGCATCATGGGAGGGAGATTCCCCAATCACATGACTTGTGACGTCACCCAGGAAGAGCCATCGCCATATTTGTTTTGAAACACAAATTTTGTATTTCTCCAAAATATCTTCCGATTCCTCCGATTACGGTCAATAAAAAGGCGATGCAATGACATCAAACAACTTGCAAGTATGTACTTTATCTTTAAGTCCACTTGTTACGGTATAATTAGCTTATATATTCTCGCAATACATTTTTATTTTGATGTGAAAAATCCAAAACTGCAAAAATTCAGAAATTATTTAATTTTTTCATTTTCTTCCTGTATAATCAAGTGATGCTTTAGTCAGGTAAAAGTCAAGAGTAATGGTAGAAATATGCATCTGCTTTCAATTGGTTTATTAGACGTCTCAATGTAGCAGGAGAAAGTGTTTGATTCTGAATGAATCATATATTAGATCTAGACTCTGTAAACTCAAGAGAACATCAGATGTTTATGTGTCATAAATGACATTTCGGGTTTTCCCCATGAATTGAGAATTTGAAATCTAAGGTAGAACCTTTAAGATGTCAATGATGGTAAGTTAGTCTATATCCAATAGACTGAATTTCCTGAGAATTCAGTCTGCATATTTTCATTCCAAATTTCAAAAAAATTTCAGACAAGAGGATATCATATAGTCTAGGTAGTAAGTATTCTTCTCAGCTAGAAAGTAAGATAAAAAAAGTACATGAATGTTTAAAACAGCAGGTTGATTTGCAGGTGATGAAATTTGCTGCCTGATGACTTCAAATGAAAGGTTAAATATTGTACAAGGATGTGGTGGTTCATGCTAGAAAAGTCGTACAACTCACCAAAATAAATATTTGAAATATTATTATTTCAGAAAGCTATAGATATTGTGACAAAAGCTACAGAGGAGGATAAGAACAAGAACTACGCCGAAGCATGTACACTATATCAACATGCGTTGACGTACTTCCTTCATGCTATGAAATGTAAGATCACCATTTTTATAATTTCCACTTGTTATAATGTAGAATCAAGGAATGTACTTAGATAGGGACTACTGTATTATTATGTTATGTTATGAACTATGTTAAAGTAGTTTTGAACTTGAATACTTTATCTTAATATGCGTATATCTATATGGGCTTTCCAACTTATATAAGTGTTCATGTGAATAAGTAGCTCATCCCAATTTTTGCAAATTAGAATGGTATTTTCTGCAAATTAAATTAGTGACACTGCATGAGAAATTCTACTAGATTTCTTGACAAAAAATTAGAATAGATGCAAATGTTCTTATGAAAGTATTGTGATAGTTCTTTACAAATACAGAATTCAGATAAATATAAAAAAAAAACATTTCAAAAATATAATATTTCTTCATGGATTTGGTGCTATTATATCGGAAAAACAATGCAAGAACAATTTAAAATTATTTTTATTTTGGGATGCAGTCTTTCCAGATATGAAACTTGAGAATTTTCAAGGTTATATTATTCATCACAATTTTTTCTTATTCCCTTTGCAAAAATGGAAATCTTGATTGAGTGATAAGTTATGTACCAACTACTGTTCCAACACTAGTTACTTTAGAATGTACTTATTTCCAGATGAAGCCCACAGTGAGAAAGCGAAAGATAGCATTCGAAGCAAATGTATACAGTACTTCGACAGAGCAGAGAAACTAAAGCAATATGTTGCCAAAAAGTCTGGCACTGACAGAAAACCAGTGAAAGACAGTGCTGGTGAAAAAAGTGGAGGCAATGACAAGAAAAGGTATGACAAATTAGAAAATTCAAAGGCATTGTTTTTAAATTACATTTTAAATAAAAAAAATCCAGATGAACCACCAACTTAGTGCTAACAATGATAAAAGGCTAGTCTTTTTGAGATGTATAGTCAAACTTTTACAAAATGTAATCATGAAATACATAATGTTAATAAATAATGACTAAGTTGGGTGTACCCCTCCTTAAAAAAATATTGTTTCATTTGGCCAGTCCTTTTAGTATGTGAACAGTAATTGTAGTTCAATATCTTAAAAATACACAATATGACTTGCTGATTATGTTTCAAAGTGACAGTGACTCTGAAGAGAATGAAGAAACGAAAAAGTTCCAAAATCAGCTATCAGGAGCCATTGTGATAGAGACACCCAATATAAAGTGGGATGATGTAGCTGGGTTAGAGGGAGCTAAGGAAGCTCTAAAAGAGGCTGTTATTCTACCAATAAAGTTCCCACATTTATTCACTGGTAGGTCTATGGAGTACACAGTGTATTGCGAGGAAGTATTTGTCTCTTCCACGGGAAATCACTGAGGGAGATTTTGAAAAACTTTGTTTCACTGGGCCAATTCACAGAATTGATTTTAATACAGTTGTCAATCCTGAAATGGAAAGACAGAGTCTTAAGAAGCTACCCAACTCAGTGATCAAAAATAACAAAATTCATGAATTAATTAAAAGCAATAATTTAAAGGATGTATGGAGAGAAGAACATCCTGATTGAAAACATTTTACATAGAGAAAAAGAACTCCTTTCATGAAAAGTAGATGTTTTTGATCTCTGATTCATTTATGTCACAAATTAAGTTATGTGATATCAGGCCTAGCTATAAAAGTGACCACCAGGCAATATGCTTAAAACTGTCACCCTGCCATGCTAAGGGAAATGGTATTTGGAAGCTAATATTATAAATAATAGTGCACTTAAAGATAATAATTTTAAACTCTTGATTTCTAATATACTTTCCCAGCCAGATGTTTCACTTGATTGTGGAGATCAATGGGAGTTATTTAAAGTAAAAATAAGGGAGAAGTATGCTAAACATGAAGCAAAATTACGTAAAAAACTAAAATAATTTTTAGTTAATAAGATTAGCACTTGTATAATACTTTACCCGAGTATGAGGCAAACGCTGCCAAAATACGGTCATGTGTACAGTGGATAGAGGAAGGTGAACGTAACACAAACTTTTTGTTGGTGTTGAAAAGCACCAATAGAAGAATCAAACAATATATAATTTAAACCGTCCCAATGGAACTGTAGTTAGTAATCAAAGTGAAATATTACAAATGCAGGAGAAGTTCTATAAAACCCATATTACTGTATGACAGATTGTGTTGAATGTAACCTTCTATAAAATTGTTGTTTACAGGTAAGAGAAAACCATGGCGGGGCATACTCCTGTTTGGGGTAAGTGATCAGTTCTTGATTTGATCAAGATTTACCTTCAATTCCATCTGATATAGTAATTTTGAAAATAAAATAATCAATTTTATTGAATTATAATTCTGTATTTTCATAATCTTATCAGAATGAATGGAAATTTCATAATTTTATGGAAATGCTGAAAAATAAGATTTCTGTTATTGGAATGTCAGAAACGTGGCTTAAAAAAGATATTGAACAATTATATGTACAAAATAACTATAATAGTGAATTCTGTTCTCGACAGTATAAACATGGTGGTGGTGTAGCTATACACATTTTAAAGGGAATTAAATATATACTGAGAAATGACCTTACTTTGAAAAGCAATGACTGTGAATCTTTAGCTATAGAAATTCCAAAGGAAAACTCTCAAAATGTGATTATTCTTACTATTTATAAGCCTCCGAACATTAATATTTCTGATTTTAATACATTACTTGATGAACTATTAGCTAGAGTTGTAAATGAGAAAAAGACTATATTTTTAATGGGTGATTTTAATATTGATCTCTTTAAAACTGAGAATCATTTACCAACCAATCAATCTTAATATGTTGTATTCACATTCTTTATATCCACTAATTTATAAACCTACAAGGATAACAAGTAGGTCAGCTACATTAATAGATAATATATTTACAAACTCAAATGAAATTGACATATCTGGTCTTTCAACTTTTCCAATATCAGATCATTTGGCCATTTTTACTATAACTCGGCATACAACTTGTAAAATTGAGGCCAAAACTTTTCAAATTTAGACACATTAATGATAAAGCTATAATAAATTTTAACTTTGATTTGGCAAATATAAATTGGAATGAGATACTTACAGAAAGGGATGTTAACTTAGCATACATAAAATTTGAGAATTTAATCACAAATCTATATAATATACATTTCCCTCTAAGATCAAAAACAGTTCAAATGTTCATAAATTCAAGTAAGCCATGGTTAACTCAAGGTATCATAACTTCATGTAAAAACAAACACAAATTATATCGTAAATACATTAAACATCCTTCTACTGAAAATCAACAGGCTTACAAAGAATTTAAAAACAAATTGCAACATATAATTCGCTTTTCTGAAAAAAAACATTATAGTTCTAAGTTCCATGAAGTTAAAGGTAATCTTAAGCAAACTTGGTCAATTATTAATAACATTTTGAAAAGAAATAATAATTCAAATGCATCTGAATTTAACATGCTTATAAATAATACTTTAACGAAAGATAAATTAACCGTGGCAAACAATTTTTCTTCATACTTTGCAAATGTTGGTCCAAAACTTGCATCAAAAATTAATTCCAATGGGTCACCATTTGCCAATATTACGAGAAACAAACATTCTATATTTCTGGATCCTGTTACTGAAGATGAAATTTTAACATTAATGCAGGGACTTGGGGATAAAGCACCTGGTTTCGACAATATAAAGCCCTTGGTAATTAAACATCAATATAGCTACTCCTTTTACACATATTGTTAACCTTTCACTGCAATCTGGTATTTTTCCAGATAAACTAAAGATTACAAAATTAATTGCACTTTTCAAAAAAGGAGAAAGATCACTTTTTAAGAACTATAGACCTATTTCTTTACTGAGTGTTTTTTCTAAACTTCTTGAAAAAGTAATGTATAAACGTTTTTCTACATTTCTTAAAACTAATAATCTAATGCATGAAAGGCAATTTGGTTTTAAAGAAAAACATTCAACATATATGGCCATTCTTACTTTTTCTGAACAAATTCGTTTTGCTCTAGATAATAATAAACATGTTTTAGGTTTATATTTAGACCTTTCCAAGGCATTTGATACCATTGACCATACAATTTTACTAAATAAACTAGAAATGCTAGGTTTTCGTGGTGTTGCAAATGATTGGTTTAGAAGTTATTTAAAAAACCGTCCTTTAAAAACTTTTATTGAGGATACATATTCAGATAAAAATGAAACTTTAACTTTTGGTGTCCCTCAAGGCTCTGTCTTGGGGCCAGTACTATTTACACTATATATAAACAATCTTTTTAAGGTATCAGATATTTTCAAATTAGTTATTTTTGCTGATGATACTAATATATGCCTCGAAGATGATAACCTAGAAAACTTATTCAAAATTGCAAATAATGAAATGATTAATATTTCTAATTGGTTCAAGAACAATAAACTTTCACTCAACATAGATAAAACTAATTATATGATCTTTACTAAATCAAAAACTAAACTCAATGATCCCAAATATCAGTTAATTATTGATAAAAATACTATTGAACGAGTTGAAAAAACAAACTTTCTTGGAGTAATAATTGACAATAAATTAAATTGGAACGAACATATATCTTATATTATTTCGAAAATATCCAAAACACTAGGTATACTTCACAAAATACGCTACAAATTAAATTTTACAGCTTTGCTAGACATATATTACTCGCTTATATATTCTCACATTTCATATTGTAACATCATATGGGGAAATGCCAACAAATTTTTATTAGACAAGATATATGCCATTCAAAAAAAATTTGTCAAATTATCTTTAAACTTAGATTTACTTCACCCAAGTTTACCACTATTCAAGCAATTAAATATATTAACTATCTTTGATATTCATAAATTAGAAAAACAAAATTCATGTTTAATATAGTTAAAGAACCAGCACATTTTCCTTCTCATTTATTTAAACAGTATTTTAATTTCAGACATACTCGTCCCACGAGACAAATTCATCACATTATCCCATGCAAATTTAAATCAAACTTAACAAAAAAATCTATTCAATACTCTGGAGCAATACTATGGAACAATTTACCAACATCCCTTCAATCTTTACCATCATTTTACTCCTTTAAATACAATTACAAAAAAACATTAATAAATTGTTACTGAGTTGTTACTGAGCCATGAGCATGTACTGTTATTCTTCCACAATTGTATTATGTTTGTATTTTTCACTTTTGAATTGTTTATGTGCAGGCATTTTTGTATTTTGTATATTGTCGTATTTTAAAACATGAACTGGCATGATATCTATAATAATTGTATTTCTTGCTTCATTCAATTCATATAGATTGTAATATATTTTTATATTGTACAACTTTTGATTTTAGCACTGATATGCCCTTTTATGGGTATCAAGTGCCAACACTATTAATGTAATATTAAATGAATATGATAATAAATAAAAAAAAAAATAAAAAAAAATTGCACAGACCATTTCCTCTACTACAAGTGGTGATTAATAAGAAATATTTAGATTTAGTGTCATGTATTTCTGGGCCCAATATGACTATGTGACCCACCTAGCTAAGCGAGTCATGATGTCAATGAACAAAAGATATGGATATTGTGCAGTGTTCTCCCCAAAAAAGTGGGTGCAACTGGGTGCAATTTTTCAACCCTGAAAAAATTGGCGCTCGGTACGCTCACAATATCTCTAGGCGGGTGCTTACTTCACTCATTTTTCAAATCAGAAGTTGAAGCGCAGGGTGCCAAATGGGGGGCCTTTAGTTTAAAGAAGGGTGGGGGGGGGGTGGTGGTAAAAGTGACACGGGGAGATCACTGTTGTGTATTTAGAGTCCTGTGCAACAAATTGACACAATAATGAATTTCTCTTCATCTAGTTTGAGTTCAAATAACCATGCATCTGTTGTAAAATGTAGAACATCAGGTTTTCTGAGAATGCCTAGGTATATGTGTGATTTCTGAATTTATAGGCCTCATAGTATTTTAAATGGAAAATTTTCAGAAGAAAATTACTAGGTTTCTTCACTATAGAGAGAATTTTACTTCTATAGATTTAGATTTTATACAATAGGAAATGTAAGTGTTATGCCTGATATTCTCCCCTTTTATACTTTTTCAGCCTCCAGGTACTGGAAAGTCCTACCTTGCCAAAGCAGTAGCAACAGAGGCCAACAACTCCACCTTTTTCTCTGTATCATCATCTGATCTTGTATCCAAATGGCTTGGAGAGAGTGAAAAGTGAGTAATGCTTTGAAATGGAAAATTGATATTATGAGAGTAAAATCATCAAAGGATCTGTCGTTACATTTGGAATTAAGATGGGGCCTGTTCCACCAAACCTTTAATAACAGCAATCACTCCACTTAAAACATTATTGAGATTGTCCATGTGATTCCAGGCTGGTTAAGAATCTATTTTCAATGGCAAGAGAGCAGAAGCCAAGTATCATATTTATCGATGAGGTAGACTCTCTTTGTGGCTCTAGGAATGAGAATGAGTCCGAATCAGCAAGGAGGATCAAAACTGAATTCCTAGTTCAAATGCAAGGTATGTTTTTATTAATCAAAACTGAATTCCTAGTTCAAATGCAAGGTATGTTATTATTAATCAAAACTGAATTCCTAGTTCAAATGCAAGGGATGTTTTTATTTATCAAAACTGAATTCCTAGTTCAAATGCAAGGTATGTTTTTATTAATCAAAACTGAATTCCTAGTTCAAATGCAAGGTATGTTTATATTAATCAAAACTGAATTCCTAGTTCAAATGTAAGGTATGTTTTTATTAATCAAAACTGAATTCCTAGTTCAAATGTAAGGTATGTTTATATTAATCAAAACTGAATTCCTAGTTCAAATGCAAGGTATGTTATTATTAATCAAAACTGAATTCCTAGTTCAAATGCAAGGTATGTTATTATTAATCAAAACTGAATTCCTAGTTCAAATGTAAGGTATGTTATTATTAATGAAAACTGAATTCCTAGTTCAAATGTAAGGTATGTTATTATTAATCAAATCTGAATTCCTAGTTCAAATGCAAGGTATGTTATTATTAATCAAAACTGAATTCCTAGTTCAAATGCAAGGGATGTTTTTATTAATCAAAACTGAATTCCTAGTTCAAATGCAAGGTATGTTATTATTAATCAAAACTGAATTCCTAGTTCAAATGCAAGGGATGTTTTTATTAATCAAAACTGAATTCCTAGTTCAAATGCAAGGTATGGTATTATTAATCAAAACTGAATTCCTAGTTCAAATGCAAGGTATGTTATTATTAATCAAAACAGAATTCCTAATTCAAATGCAAGGTATGTTATTATTAATCAAAACTGAATTCCTAGTTCAAATGCAAGGTATGGTATTATTAAAAAAACTGAATTCCTAGTTCAAATGTAAGGTATGGTATAATTAATCAAAACTGAATTCCTAGTTCAAATGCAAGGTATGTTATTATCAATCAAAACTGAATTCCTAGTTCAAATGTAAGGTATGGTATTATTAATCAAAACTGAATTCCTAGTTCAATGAATCAAATGCAAGGTATGTTATTATTAATCAAAACTGAATTCCTAGTTCAAATGTAAGGTATGGTATAATTAATCAAAACTGAATTCCTAGTTCAAATGCAAGGTTATCAGTTATCACACGTTTCAGCATGCGATACACGAAATATTACACAAAAGGTAATACTGTATCATCCACGAAAGCGAAGCTTGAGTGGTGATACATTGTTACCCGAGTGGAATATTTCATGTATCACATAAGCTGAAACGTGTGATGACGATTTTATCACATGTCTAGGAATTTTGAGGCATTTTGATTTGGTCAGTTATGATTGTTTTCAGTACTCTGTACTCCTGGTAACTATAATAATTTTTGATTTCGCTTTGAAACAATATGACGTCATACCGTTGTATTCATACTTTTTTGTGAAATAGAATGACGTCATATTGTTTTCCTTAGCTTGAACTGATATAATCAGTGTGATGTCACATCGTTGCTATTGACTCCGTAGTGATACAGCTCACCGTATCACATGAAAATTAGTCACGTGTCATGTGATACGGAATATACATCATCACAATTGACCAATCAAAATGCGTAGACACTCCTAATCATGTGATAAATGGTATTATTAATCAAAACTGAATTCCTAGTTCAAATGCAAGGTATGTTATTATTAATCAAAACTGAATTCCTAGTTCAAATGTAAGGTATGGTATAATTAATCAAAACTGAATTCCTAGTTCAAATGCAAGGAATGGTATTATTAATCAAAACTGAATTCCTAGTTCAAATGTAAGGTATGGTATAATTAATCAAAACTGAATTCCTAGTTCAAATGCAAGGTATGGTATTATTAATCAAAACTGAATTCCTAGTTCAAATGCAAGGTATGTTATTATTAATCAAAACTGAATTCCTAGTTCAAATGCAAGGTATGTTATTATTAATCAAAACTGAATTCCTAGTTCAAATGTAAGGTATGGTATAATTAATCAAAACTGAATTCCTAGTTCAAATGCAAGGTATGGTATAATTAATCAAAACTGAATTCCTAGTTCAAATGCAAGGTATGTTATTATTAATCAAAACTGAATTCCTAGTTCAAATGTAAGGTATGGTATAATTAATCAAAACTGAATTCCTAGTTCAAATGCAAGGTATGGTATCACTAACAAAAACTGAATTTCTAGTTTACATCAGTGACATCTTAATATTTATGTTTCTGTTCAATAATGAATTTCCAGTTTAAACGTGAGGCATGGGAATCAAAACTGAATTCATACTTTAAATGCATTGTATAGGAATTTTAACTGAGTTTCTGCTTCAAATGTAAATACAATGATTGGGTCTTAGTACTTTGGGCCAACAATATACCATGAATTTCATAACAGTTTTTTGTTTTAAAGATGGTGGCTTTTTTGTTTTAAAGATGGTGGCACTGACAATGATGGGATCTTAGTACTTGGGGCCACCAAGATACCATGGACTTCATGATATTTTGTTGTTTTGTAGGTGTTGGCACTGACAATGATGGGGTCTTAGTACTTGGGGCCACCAATATACCATGGACTTTAGATTCAGCTATTAGGAGAAGGTTAGGCTAGCATTTTATAACCGTTCAAGCAACTTGACCAACTGTTGATATTATAAGACATTTTTGTTATGTTTTTCTATTGTATGGCGAAAAGGTAACAACCTGGCATCTCTATGAAGAGTAAGAATGAGATCTTTTCTCTATTTTTGACTAATTCATATATCATCACTGACCACTTTCCTTGTCCAAACGTTCCCTAGTGAGACTGTGAGATGGGTCACAATTGTCAAAATGTGTGAGTATATACTTAGTTTCCTTTCAGATTTGAGAAACGTATTTACATCCCACTCCCTGAGGCAGGTGCCAGAGCACAAATGTTCAAATTGCACATTGGTAATACTGCATGCGCTCTGTCTGATGATGATTATACGACTCTAGGGAAACGTGCTGAAGGGTGAGTCTGAGTTCTAAAATAGGAACACCAAAAAACAGTAAAGATGAAACAAAATCAGTCTTAAAGAAAACCAACCCCCAATAACCCAACCTAGGATCTAATGCATAGGATGAGGGACTTAAGGGGAGAATTTGGATAATGCAAATATTGCATAAAGGACACTAATATTTAAGGTGCCCAGTGTATTTTTTTAAAACACCTCCTATAATATTTTATTAATGATTAAGAATGCATAAGTTTTTGTCTCACAATGATGTCTTATATCGCATATTAGACATATACTATTTACTTTCTCTAAAATATAACTTAAGTCATCAAACTGTGGCCATTTAATCATCAGTTCTGAGAATGTCGTCCTCGAATCTGAATATAACTAGACATCAAGATTGCAAGTAGTATTTTCAGTCTGTAATTTATCATGTCAAGATTGTATTCCATAATAGGAGCTTAGAATAGTCAGGGGTTTCATTAGCAACAGGCAGCAGGAGATTTTCACCGGTTGTTATCACAAAATCGCCTGTTGTTTTTAGGGACTTTTCAACTTTTCCATGTTAGATTTATGATTTCCTTTAATTTTTTTGCATTTTGTTTTCATTTATTTAGCCTGTTGTGAGAAATTCTAGTGAAACCCCTAATAATGTATGATTTATATTTCAGGTATTCAGGCTCTGATATTAGTATGGTTGTTCGAGATGCTCTGATGCAACCAGTTCGTAAAGTTCAAACAGCAACACATTTTAGAAAGGTAAGCACTTTGTGCGATTTTAATTTTTTCAAATTTCCATTTGTACACTAAATCATTTATTATTATTATCATATGTTATAGTGTCAGTTTTTTGTGGCGGTTGGCCATCAGTGGTTGATGTCTGTAACAAATGGTGGTGACATTTGATGCCTTCTTGAACTTTGGAAAGGCTTTAGCACAATAGAATTTAAATGTTACAGTATGCTGTGTCTACTTATGTATCTATAGTATTGTTATGTTTATGCGAAGGGGCCTTCCAGAGACGACCCTAGTGTTATTTTAGATGACCTTTTAAAGCCATGTTCTCCTGGACCTCTCTATCTATATTTAGGTTAGGAGGCCTTCTAGAGATGACCCTAGTGTTATTTTAGATGACCCTCTGGACCCATGTTCCTCTGGAGTTCCTTGTGCAATAGAAATGAACTGTTACTTATTGTACCTTACGTTTCGTCTATGTTTAGGTTAGGGGGCCTTCCAGAGATGACCCTAGTGTTATCTTAGATGACCTTCTGGAGCCATGTTCTCCTGGAGCTCCTGGTGCAATAGAAATGAACTGGACACAAGTTCCTGGTGATAAACTTAACGAGCCCTTAGTCACAATGGTAAGTGGAAAACCAAATTTTGTTGGAATCTTTCAATCTTGATGGCATATTTAAAATCATCAATTAGGCCAAAACATGGATGGCAAATTCCAAGAGTGTGGCGTTGTACTAATTATTGATGCACTAGGGGCCTAATTATCCATTAAACATAGTTTGAGTATGAAAGTAGAGAAGCTGTCCATCTATTGATCTGTTTGTTTGTTTGTTTGTTTGTTTACATGTACCAGTATCAGATTAGGTGGTGATTTCCATCGTTAAATGGACTGGTTATTTGTATCATTAAATGTTTTAAAAGCCAAGTGATTTGACAAAAATGTGTTTTGTTTGGTGGGATCTTCTATTTGGGGAGTTGCTAATCCATATATGAGACATGAATGTGAAACCTTATGTAAATACAACTTAGCCTTGTGACTACATGATAACAACAACTTTTACCATAAAATAACAATATCAATTTGCTCACTACTAAGGCATCTACTCATTATTACTTCAACAGAATGACAGACAATTAGAGACAGATGTTTAAATATTATTATTCGTGAAGGCAATTATGAGAAATTAGAAGTACTGTACACCCGGTATTATTCGCGTGCGATTAACTTTCGCGCTTTTCGCGATGGTGTTAAAATCGCGAAAAATTATCGTCGCGAAATTGCCAATTAAATCCCCGGGAATTTGTTTTGACCCGGGGCTCTGATGCATTTCGTCAACTTCTGATCCCACCATTCCTACATCTGTAAGAAGAACTACAACATGCATTTCGTTTTGTGTAAAAGGTTTCGTCTAGTGTTATTGGGCGATAATTGGATGATTTCCACCAACATGTAATACAAAATACGAATTCAAACTGCGTACAGTATGTGAATAAAAGTACTTGTATATTGTTTATTTTGTTTTTTTATCATATATGTTATATTTATCTCTTTATTATTACATATACTTGCAGCATGACATGCTTATGTCCCTAAGTGTACAGAAACCAACTGTTAATGAAAATGACTTAGAAAAACTCACACAATTCACAGATGACTTTGGTCAAGAAGGATAGAACTTGACATATTTTTTGCTGGTGATTGAACTGTCACAGTGGCCGTGTTTTGAAGTGTAAAAAAATGTAATAGGAGAACTCAATGAAATAGTTTAAATGACTCAACACTTCTATCTGGAGAACTCAATACTAAAATAGAAATAAGTCAATGCTTCTATTTGGAAAACTTAGCATTAAGATAGGAATGACTCAACAGGAGAACTCAACACTAAAATAGAAATGACACAATGGCCAACATTTCCATCAGGAGAACTCAACACTAAGTGTGTAAAGACTTAATTCTTATTTCTGAAGAACTCAACACTCAAAGATTGGATTGAGTCAACACTTCTATCAGGATTACTCAACACTAAAATGGAAATGACACAATGGCCAACATTTCTATCAGGAGAACTCAACACTAAGTTTGAAAAGACTTAATTCTTATTTCTGGAGAACTCAACACTCAAAGATAGGATTGACTCAATGCTTCTGTCAAGATAACTCAACACTAAGATTGAATGACACTCACGGCACACAATAATATATTGAATTGTTTCAGTGTTTCATCCCTAAATTGTATGGTTATTCCTCAAAATCAGATTCTACAACTGTATTTGTAGATAGATTTACAGTTTATTAAGCATGGCCAGGGTAACATTTCAATTTTAAACATGGTTAGAGAGAAGATTTATTATTTTTATGTCCCCACCACATCGTGTGGGGCCATATTGTCGGCCTAGGCGCGTCCCTCTGTCCATCCGTCCGTCCGGCAATTTTCTCCAAAAGCACTACAGATGTCACCTTCAAATTTTCAGGGTGAGTGCATACAGATGCGGATGAAAGAATTTGAACTTGATACCTACTTCCTGCTGACCATTTTGAAGGTTTTTATGCTTAAATCCTTGTTTGCAAACTTGTAGAAAAATGGCTTCACAGTTGCTTTTAAAACTTTAACATCTTGTTAAGCTCACTTCATTCTACATTCATTTGGACCTGTTAGCTCAGTCATGGCAGCCATTTTGAATGTATTAAGAAAATTTTAAGGCCACCACATTGGATTTTCTCTTAAAATCTTGTTTTTTCAACTGATTAGTGTTAGGCATTCAGGATGAAAAATTTGCAGTATATAGGATCACCCATTGGTGGGGGCATGTTGAACACATTTGTGTTCTTGTATATTATTAACTGTGAATTTCTTCGATGTAACTTAACTATATAAAAATGAACCTTTGTGTAATGTTATATCAGTTGTTTTTATTAATTAAAGAACTATCCAAGCAAAGTGAAGGGATAGTATGAATATGATTTTTCGATGATGAACACTTGTGATTATGATAACACCTTGCAATGAGGAATGTTAGGTTGCAAATAAGATTTCAAGTTTACAGAAATGATGACATTATAAAACCATTTTTTTTATATTTTCTTTGATCTTTATATTTGATTGATCTATATTAATTGAATGTGAAATTCAAGCTGATCGTACTGTATGTACTAGAGTGAATAAAAACTACTGATATTACCCCTATGGTAATACCATAAAGACCACATAATGATAACAATACTGTATCATGATAATAACACGTGATGACAATATCATGAATAGAAGTAGAGATTATCAACATTTACTGTCAAGTCTCCTAGACAGACTTTTATACTAATATACCATAACGGACGTTTGTATAACGGGTGTTTCAGAAACATGATTGACTTTGGTATATCTACTTTCGTAAAAAACTAAAAAACTCTGTGCTCCCTATATCCAGTTTCATGTACAGTTCAGGATTATATTGTAATATAAGGCCCCACTCAAACCTGTATATAATTGTAGTCATCTCTTGAAAGTACTGTTGACTGAGACCGGAGGTCCGAATTGAGTATTCCAACTGAGGTACTAACAATACTTGTATAAAAAGGAGCATTTATTTCGAATGAGACCAACCATGCCAACAGGACTTTGTTGCAAGAGAAAACACAAAATCCATGCCTTGCTCCATGACCCTATTTTCAGAGAATCTAGTTTATCATCATTTCTTGTTTCAAGCATTTCAATGAAGTAGACAACTTGATTCATTATTTATAATTGTTGCATTGTTTGGAGTAGAACATATTATCTGTACAGTACATGTATACTCTCTGTACATACTTACTGTACATGTAGCCTCTGTATTATAAAACTGTAAAAGATAATTCTGAGGTAATACCTCTCATATACTAAATATGTTTGTTTTGTTCAATATATGCAAAGTTTAAAGGATAACCCAAATGAAAGGATATCAAATGTCTTGCTTATTTTGGTAAAAAATTGAAAGCAAAACAATCAACACTTGCAAAACTCTTAGCATTTTGTTCAGAGCAATCTTGCCTCATTCCAAGGTAGTAGCCTTTAGGTACGTAACCAACGAAACTGATTTTGGAGATATGCGGCTCGTGACTTCAATGTTTGTGCCTTTGTAATTTGTTACAGCCCCCCCCCCCTCATGCCCCTGGAGTTGACATAACATAGTGCACTTCTTGTTGTTATTTTGACTGCTTTTACATGGAATGAATTGGTTTTTGATTAATGTCTCTTAGCATTCCAATAAGACATTTAAAACTCCCTCAAAGGATACCCAGGTATTTTAATTTTTCAAATTGCCAATAATTTCTCAAATTATGTAAACTGTACACATTCCTTAATCCCTAGTATTTTCTCTTTGAGTAATTTCCCATAGAAATCCAATGGTACAGTTCCAAGCAGATTTTGAGATAGCAGGAAAGCAAATCTTTAACACACACCTTTTTGGGTTGCTTTGGTTCACAGGCCCGGGAACAAGATTTAAATCCCCCACTCACTGTATAGGAAAAATATTACTTTCAACCTAATACATAGTGGGAGGGGGATGAACTGTTGTTTCCGTGTCTATGCTTTGGTTTATATCGCAACCCAAAATGGCCACTGGATTGATTTCTAAGGTGTAATCATATTTTAAAACCGGAACTTATTAACCATTTACATGCCAAATATTTAGTTGTAATTTGAAAGATAAAAGCGAACTCCTATGCAGTGTCTCGGTATAGACACATATCACTGCACGGGAGTTCGAGATAAAAGCACGAAAATCGTGAAAAGAAAAAATTTCACCGAATGCTCCTTTTTCATTCGCGGCCATTTTGATACGAGGCAAAACCTCCCTCGTTTCCAGTTCATCCCCAGTGATAGAGGAAATGCATACATTGTATAATTAGTCAGTTTGTGAAACAATGTTTTTAACCATTGCTAACTTTTTAAAATTGTCATCTAATTTCTTAAAAGATTTTCAGCAGTTATTCACAATATTTACACCATATGCCTCAAAGAGTTAGGTAAAATTATACAATATATATTGGAAATGTTATGATTGATAAAGGACAATGCACCCTTTTTCTTTACAGAGGGTACACTCGGATAACTGGCTAAGTCACCATCTATATTAGCCCTAAGCCAAACTAGATCTGAGATAATAATAAAATGGATTCTCTCGTTTTAATGTAATAACACGATTTATCACGGCCATCCGTGTAATATTAAAACAAAAACATCCATTGATATATATTTTACAACAAAGGACCTGCATGTCTCATTAGTGTTACCTGTTCTCTCTGTAACAAGTTACATTTCCTGTCTTTTTGAAATGTATTTGGCATCTTGATTTTTGTAACTCTGTTTTTCTGTCTTATGATATGAAGTAATCAATTACTTTTTTTATGACCATACCCCTTGTGATTTTTGCACTTCCGTTATCAACATGATCATCGCCGATCAATATACATGATATGATATGATGATATGATATGATATGATATAGGTATTTCAAAAAAATGCCTCGCTGAGATTTTTTGTCTTAGATTTTTTGTCTTGTTGACGAAAACATGCCTCACTAAACCCCCTTCGTGACATCGGATCCTAGCAACGGCACCGTCGTACGCCATGATTGATTCAATTAAATATGATTGGGTGGGAATACTAGGAACGCAGATGGAAAAAACATTGTTTACATTGCTTTCTATGAATTAATTGTAGTATAAAGCAACATGCTGTTTAATCAGAGATAGGAAAGCCCTTCAAAAGGAAATTCATAGTCTCGATCATGTAACGGAGTAACGATGGAATGTAATTAGTAATATAAAGACTCGACACCATTCATGCCATTTCACTGGGGGGTATCGTGATGCAACAACACCGTGTTGTTGCATCAAGATGGCCAGACTTCCGGTGATCGATTTTCGAACGATATTTTGTTTTCCCAATTTAAACCCATTTCTAGGACGAGTTGCTCAATAATCATACACATGCAGCTAGCGCATGATCTATATTTTGAAAAACTGTCGTTAGTATACATGTAGCATCATCAAGAAGCTATAAATTCGCGGTTTTAATTCCTCACTATTGATGCAACAACACCACTCTGTTTATTATCGATGATACAACAACACCAATGTGCTGATGCAAAAACGCCAATATAATGTATCATTGAACAAGAAGAGAAACTGTTTTATGTCCTGTTTACAGGTGTTGGTCGGGACATGAATAAAACACGTGAGTCCGTGGTCCATGAATGAAACGTATTTTGTTTGGTTTCTTAATGTATTTGTATCTGAAAAATAAAGATTATTATACGAACATTTTTTCTAAATTAAATGCCCTTGATTTACCGTATGGAAATTGTATACAAATAACTAATATAATCATGGAAAGACAACAGATATCAGTCATTTTGTGTTGTTTGTACCTCAATTGAAATACTCATTTCTGATTGGTTGATGAGCGGTCAACAATATGTACTGCTGACCGCTACTAGGGTTGAAGACCACAGTAGAGTTTCCCATAGGTGGCCATTATAACATTTTACCCTGTATCTTATTAACGATTAGTATCCAAGCCTAGTGCAACATACCACAGTGTTCGGGAGAGACTCGCCTAGACTGCTATAATAATCTTACCATGGGTTGTCCACCGAATTTTTGAGATAAATAAACTTGAAGACACTAACCCCCTCTATCGTCAGATTTCTCAGAGAATTCTGGTAAAATCACCAAGGTCAAAATCACTCCGCCAACAGCTTAAAATGAGATTTCCCACTGAACTTTGGCATGTTTTCAGATAAATCAGGACCTACCTTATAAATATTTAGTCCCAATTCACTTCCCAAACGCCAAATGGCGCTCCAATGGGGTAGGAAAGGAGAAAAATGACTTTTTATACAGAAAACCAAATCACTGTGTAAAAAATTACAAGTATTCGACGGTTTTGAGATTTTTTGCTAAAATATGATACCTTTACTTATCAAATATGTTCACTTGATATTCGATTATATATTCGTCCAATTATTATATTCTTCGGACTAACAAACAATTGTTCACCTCTCTATACTATTCGGTCAACTGACCAAAGTGTATACCTCAACAGTAAACACTGAGAGTACTGTTGACCTAGATCTCCGGTCTCGGTCAACAGAACTTTCAAGGTTTACAGTATCGGTATACAATTTTGACAGTTGACCTCAAGAGAGGGCTACAATTGTATATTGTATATCCTTTGTTATCCCACCCAAAGTATGACGTCATTTATCAAGTTGAAGAGTTGTATACGCTGCTCAGGAGTCGTGTACGCTATCCAGGAGTTGTACATCGTTCTCAAGAGTTGTATAGGATGAGTGTTGGTTTAATGATATTGCAGTTATACAATGCTATTATATAG